GGGTGGATAGGCGGGTTGGTGGGCGTGGCCTGACCGACGCGCCCACCTGAGTCCGCCGAGTATGTCCATGATAGTGTGTTCAATCGGCCCTCTGTATGGCACCTTGACGGTCTTGCCCTCGCTGGCACGGTACTCAGCCACCCCGCCGGCATACCGATTCATCGCCGTTGCCGAACTCATCCCTGCGGCAGCAGGCACATCACATCACACCCGTCCGTCCGCAGATCATCACATTCAAGCATGCGGCCCTGTTCTCGTCTGGCTGGCTGACCGTAGAAGATCTTGACTTTCTTGCCGTTTTCTTCCACAATGTCGCCCCCAGACTCGTCATGACCGGCAAGCATGCCACCTGAACAGAGAAAAGAACCACAGGCAGGCGACCATAGGTGGCTGGCTGCTATGTAGTCCTTGCAAGCATCACTCACCGAGCATGACAAAGTCGGCTCCGGCACCGAACGCCTTTGCAACGTCGCCAGGATTCGCACAGCCACCGTCCTGACACATAACACGGGCCCACCTGGTGGGCGTAAGGTAAGGCGTGACGCAGATATGTCGCTCACTGATATGATGTGTCCCCCCAGTCCGTGTGCAGCATCGGCACACTCAATCACGGCCGACAGCTGCGGATAGCCCACACCTGACACACAATGATGTCTGCAGTGCGCGGATGCAAACAGCTCTCTTCGCCCTTCTACCTACTCACCTGTCTTTGATCGTGTTGTGCAGACAGACCCGGGACCGATTCCCACCTGACCATGCAAGGCAAGGCACGGTACACACTGAAACTAACTGCATGTGTTCACTCACGCCGACCACACGCAGAACGCACCTTGACGATGTCAGCGCCGCTGATGACGAGTTCCTCGGTCATTTCGCCTGTGACGACGTTGCCGGCCATGATGGTGTGGTTGGGGTACTTGGCGCGGATGTCACGCACGGCCTTGACGAACGTCTCGGAATACCCGTTAGCCACATCAACACAGATCATCTTGCAGCCGCTGGCCTGAACCACCTGATCAAACAAACACAACACCACACACACAACACAATCTCACACAACACGGTGACGGCCTCTGCAAATGTGTGTGTGTGCGTGCCTTGTCGAGTTTCGCCAGGTCCTCAGATCCGATGCCCGTGCTGACGGCGTAGAAGTCGGTCAGCGCCTTGCCTTTTCCGCCCGCCCAGGCGCTCCAGTCCTCGACAGAGTAGTGCTTGTGGATCTGCAGACACACACACACGCATGCACATCTCGCCTCCCTCTCTCTCTTTCGCCCACCGGACCGCACCGCAGCGACGAGTTTGTGTTTGGCGAAGGCGTCGGCGATGTCGAATGTGCCGGTGGTGTCCATGTTTGCCGCGATGACGGGGACGCCCGTCCACACCTGCCGGGAGTGCTTGAACGTGTAGGTCCTCTCCAAGTTGACCTGGGACCGCGTCGCCAGTGTGCTGCGCTTCGGGCGGATCAGCACATCCTTGAAATCCAACTTGATGTCGGCGTCGATACGCATGTCACACAATGCACGCGATGGATCGGAGATGAGAAAAACGAGAAAAGATTTGCGCGAAACGGCCCAAGCTGATGCTGCGGATCCGAGTGGCGAAGGAGGGGAAGTCCCGCTAAGCTTGCAGGGTTTGAAACCCTAGCCCCCATCACCCCCCAACGCATTCGAGTGCCTTTTCGGCTTCTCACACGTTTCATTCGACGTCAGCGAGTCTTCTACGCCAACATCGTTGCGATTCCTTCGGTTATCTTCGCCCAAAGGTCAGCGCACACTGAGTCTCCTCCCCCACGGCACATGCAACACCCCGCCTGTTGCATCGCCTTTTTTCGCATGGCCCCAGCTCCCACGCAGCCTGTAGACAGCAAGCAGCGAGGTCCAGTAGCTGTGTGTCGCTGGGAGCCGAAAACCGTGTGCAGCAGCAGTCAGAGACTGTGCTTGCCTTGCGGGGGCACAGTGACTCCTGGGCAGTCAGAGATAGCTTGTTGCAGAATCAGTGGGACGGCATGGGAGGCGGGGAGGGGCGCAATGCTCGTGGGGGAAGAAGAGCAGAGGAGCGAAGCGTCCTTCTGATATCTTGTCTTTTTGTCTGCTTTGCTGCTGTTGTGCGACGCAGGTCAACGTCAACAGAGAGTGTCTTACTCTATCAAGTCACACGCGTCGGCTCTCTTCGGGCTTCGCGGACACCTCATTGAAGTCTGTCTTCAAGAGACTCAAGTAGGCGACGTCAGGCCGGACCCAGAGATGGCTCGCGGGTTCATGCTTCTTTGTCCTCTAACCATGTGCCCAGAACGGGACTTTCCTCTTTCTCTAGTTGTTGGGTTCAAAAAGGGCTTGCATCTCTCACAAGACTTCTTTTCCGCTTCAACGGGCAACTCCCTTGCTAGGTGGGGTTCCTGAGCCATCTCCGATCGGAGAGAGACGGCGCACCTCTCCATCTTCCTTGCTCTCTTTGTGCTGTGTGTGTTGCTGTTCATCAGACTTCTCCATTTCGGGACTCATTGAGAAATACCCTTGCTGACTCACGTGGCAACCTACCTTTGCTGCTTCAAGTAGACCACACGGCGTCAAGCAGCCATTTGTTGTTGCTCTCACACCGACTTCATGTCTCTTGCTGTGGCGTTCCAGATTTTCCTCACTCCCTCTTTCTCTCGACACACCCGATCCCTTCGGCGTCCTTTCTCCTCTGTTTGTGAGCGGTAAGCACTCTCATGCCCTCCTTTTCTCTGGGTGCCTACAGGCTGTGTTTCCGTATCTCCTGCGTCTTTCTCACTGATTGACTTATCGATCAGGTCAATTCATCATGGGGATGGCCACTTGTAAACGCAACTGCTGGAACTGGTCGTGTTTCTGCTGCATCTTCTTCGGCTGTGCGGACCGAGTCAAGTTCGAGGACGAGCATGAACTCACGTACGCCAGCCTATTCCACACACACCACGCACACACGGAGAGAGAGAGAGAGAGAGAGAATTTTTGTTTGCCTTTCCTGTCTGTGTGCCTGCGGCATTGTGGAGCCCAGCGTGAAGCGTCCGCCGAGCAAGGAGGAGGTGGCGAGTGTGACAATTCAGGCGGGGTTCAGGGCCATGAAGGCCCGGGAGGAGGCCACGAGACGCCGCTACTCGCGCGACGATGACGACAACGCGGTGGCCAAGGTGGTCAAGGACGAAATTGGCGAAGACGAAGACAACGCAGCCGCCAAAGCCACCTCGGGCTGATCGATCAATGCGTGAGGACATCCATGCGTATGTGCAACCGGCGGGCCAGCCATTGGTGGCCGTTGCCGCATCCATCCATGTATTCCTCTTTGCCCTTCCTTGGCCTTTGTTCCTTTGCACTCACTGCAATGATCGATCTGTTGCAGTGGACATATATACGTTATGTATACCTACCTGCGTACAAGTGTATTCTGGGCGTCTCCTCTCTCTCTCTCTCTCTCTCTCCTGCGTTGGCCCTCACTCATCCCTGCCTGCCTGCCTGCCTGCCTGTCTGCCTGTCTACCTGCCTGCCTCTATCGTGCTTGCCAAGGTAGGCTTTGGGCCGTCGTCTGGTTGGTTGGTTGTCTCTTTTTCACACCAGTATACATACATACATGCATACATAAATAGATAGACGACATGAACGGTCGTGAGTGACATCGTGCAGTGTGCATGCCCACACATGTATGTGATCGATGAATCCCTCCAATATTCAACGCCTCGACCGCATCTATACGGCTCCGCGCCGTGCTTGGCAGCCAGGCAGCGGCGGCCTATTAGAGTTGGTGATTACACTGTGCGGCGTGGAGTGTAATTCGCTAATGTATTGGATGGGCACAGACCTCCCAATCTCCTTCTGCAATGAACTCGACCTTATCCCTCACCTTTAGCTCGCAATTTGATCTCAGATTCGCTTTTCGTCGCCTTCCTTCATGGACAGCAACAACAATGGCTCTTCAGGCCTCGTCGTCGACCAGCAGCTTCTCTTGCTGCTGGGACTATTTCAAGTTCATGACAACGTAAGTGATGACGGTCCGTCACTGTCCTTGTAGCTCTGATTTCTCACACAAATTGGCTTCTGTGCTCTTCACCTGCAGCCCCGCACACCAAAACACCGACCAAGAAGCCCTCACGGAGGTCAGTGACTGATCAACACAGAGCTCGGTCATCGACATTGTTTAACATGATCTGTGCTTGCTGTATTGTTTGCAGGCCGTCCCTCGCCATCGACCGGTGCTGCCGGAGGTGCCGCGGCGCCATCGCCGTTGCCCTCGGCATCGCCCGCATCTGCCCACCGAGGCGCCCCGACGGGCTCGACGGCAGCGGCCACAGACACATCCCCAGCCACAGCCACAGCAAGCACCACAGCCAGCGCACCCCCAGCCGGCGATCACCGCCACCGCCCCTCCCCCTATCATCGCCCCTGTCCCAGCCCCCGTCCCCCCTCCCCAAAGGGCTATCGTGCCTGCCCCACCCCACCCCGACCGCATCACCCCACACCAGCGCGCCATCCGCAACCGCATCGTGCAGTTGATCGAGACGGGCAACGATGCAGCAGCGGGCAGCGAGGCAGTGCGCCTCATCCGCAACAACCGGGACGTCCCCCTGGCCGGAAAGGATCTGTTCCGTCGGCTGGCTGCCTATGCGCGCCTCCTGCCGTCTGAGCAGAAGTTCCGCATCGCCACGGCCATCCTCGACCATCAGCCCGCGCTCGCCAACGAGATCGACGAGCACCCACACCAAAGCGGCCAGGTGGCGATCCACCACTTCAGCCAGTACCCGTTGCTATTCGACGGGCATCAAGAGGCGCTTCTGCGCTTGCTGGTGGCCAAGGGAGGGGCGGGCATCGTCAGCCTGCGGGACGACAACGACCGCCTGCCGCTGCACATCGCTGCCGCTTCCTACCACGACGACTGCACCACAACGAGGTGGCTGTGCGAGAACGGGGCGGCGGTCGACATCAACACCCCCAACGGCGACAACCTCACCCCTCTCCGGCTCGACGCCGACAAGAACGACCCGGCCTGGGGGAGCCCGCTCTACCGCCGGCTGACGCTGCTGGAGTTCGGGGCATCGGTGGCCGGGGCGGGCGTGCGGCCACTGCCAGTGCCGCATCGGGTGTTGTGGGAGGAGAAGATCCTCGACGCCTACCGCCACCATCTCGAGTGGAGCCTCATCAAGCGCATCCTCGCCATTGCCACCACTGCCCTCGGCGCCCAGCAGATCCCCCTCCCTGCCGGTGTGCTGCAGCGGGTGCTGGAGATGGCGGTCCCACAACTCCCCACCATCGCCGACCCGCCCCTCTCCACCCGCATCAACACGGCCCTCCTGGCGTTCCTTGACGCCGCCACGAGGGAGGACAGCCAGCGCGAGCTGAGGAGCGGAGTGGGGGGTTTCCGCTGCTTCCGCGCGCTGACGGGGCTGCGATCTCGCCCAGTCAGCCTGTGTACCGTCGTGAATCGCGCCATTCGCGACGAGGCGCGGCGGTATGGGCTGACCCTCGGGCGCATCAGGGGGCAGAGCAGCGATGCGGCCAACAACGGGGCTGGGTGGGACTGGAGGAGGCTGGGGGTGGTCAAGGAAGGGGTGTTTAAGCCGCTTTATCTGAGTTGATGGCTGGGCTGGTCGGTGTGGGCGAGGGCGGGAGAGAGGGGAAAGGGAGTTAGAAGTTTTCTCGAAGTCAGTCAGGGATGTTGGGTGTGGTTTGGGCAGGTTTGGGCGAAGAGGCGGTCGGTTGGTTGGTTGGTTGGCTTGCTGACGCATTTCATGTGTGTATGGTGACGGTCGGGCGGTTGATTCGCTTGTGTACTTGTGAGTTTGTTCCGTGGACATTAATGTGCATCTGTGGCCTGGTGTGTGTCTCGCTTCCAAATGTGTTCGTCACCTACGCCAGGCTTACAACAAAACCTCTTCAGTAGTATGTAGCAATGTACCACGAATGTCTGGCCAACCCGACGTCAGTCAGAAGCTTCATGTAACGTACCAATCGACAGCCACCGCAACCACAACCACCACCACACAAACGCGGAGATCAGCGGACAGATCATGATGCTGCTCAATGAGATGTACCAACAAACGCACCACCACCCACCCCTCTATAGACAACAGAGAAGGACGATAGCAGCGGGCGGCATGTGTATGTGTGTGAGAGCAAGAGAAAGGACACGCACCATCCCACTGCACGTCTTTCTTCTCTGGCGGACTACACAAGTAGAGTCACAGTCAGTCTGTATACACCGGGCGACCCATCCCCCGCCTGTCTGTCTCTCTGTCTGGCTACTGGTACTTGTACTCGGCTTTGTTGTGCATTATCAGCCGGTCCTCCACGAAATAGAAACTGCATACCCACACACATGGATGCACCAAGTACACGTGTGTGAGTGTGCCGACCGTCATTTCTCGCCGTCTCTCATGTGCTCCATCTGCTGTGCTGTGCAGCCACCTCCCCTCCCTCCCTCCCTCCCTCCCTCCCTCCCTCGGCACGCACCTGTCGCTTTTGGTCTCGTATGGGTGTGCGATGATGTCGTTCCTGAGGGCCTCCGACAGCTCCGGCAGCTCATACATGGCCTGTGGTGGGCGGCACACATAATGGTGCATGACCGTCCCTTGCTGTGCTGTGCTGACTGACCTACCTCCCACTCGTTGACGGTGTGCGGGATGCAGAAAGGCAGCGTGAAGTCGAACGACTTGAGCAGAGTGTTGCGAAAATAGTGACGCTCCATCAACTGGAAATTAGTGATCGCCTCGCTCCCCACAGTGAAATGCAGACTGATGATTCAATGAATGCACACACACACACACACACACACACACACACAAACAGAGAGAGAGAGAGAGAGGGGAAAGAAGCAGAAGCTCGTGTGCGTGTGCGCGTGGGTGGGTGCGGCCGTGTCTGTCTGTCTGCTGCTGTTTACTGCCGTACTTACGTGGTGCCGATGTTCCGTTTGCCGAGGAAGTCTGCAGGGAACTTGTATCGGATGCTGCGGACGGGCTCAGTCGAAGCGTCGGCCTCCGTGGACGTGCTGCCCGACTCCTCAGCAGGCGGCTGCATGTCACAGGCAGACATGAGTGCGATGGCCAGTCGCTCGTCCCATTGCAGACGTGTGCGTGCGTACCTTTGCGATGGAGAATATCTCTTGGTTCGTGTCGCAGTCCCGAACCTTGAAGGCGACGAACTCTATGTTGTACACATTGGCAGTGACCGGACAGAGGAAGTCTGCACGAACCGGACACATAGCAGCAGCCACAAACACGATTGCACTGCACAAGACATTGCATTGAATGCATTGCCTTTTGTGTATTTCCGACCTTGTGTCGGGCCATTGAGTGCACACACGTACGCTGGCGTGATCTGCACGACAGCGAACCGACAACAGACAAAGAGCGAGGATGACCGCCCGCCTTTGGCGCTTGTGGCCATCCATCGTGATGCTTGCCTGCCTATACATACCTGCGTGTGGTCCGGGTGTATCTGTGACGGCTCCCTTGCCCCGACACTGACGCCACCGACGCTCACATGGCCAATCGACGACTCAGAGGGCACCGCATCGCTCTCGTCCTCAGCTGCTGCTGGCGTGTGCGTCGTGCCAGACATCCTCTCCGCTTTTTCCCTCCCCTCCCGCACCTCAGTTGCGAGCTCAGCTCGCAAACTCTTTTGGGAGTTGATGGTGGCGGCTGCAGGGCTGCTGTTGCTGTTGTGCGCCTGCACAATTGCATGCGCTACTGGATCCACGCATTCATCCAGCTTCCTATCGCAGCCATCTCCCGCTGTGCGTCGGTCTGTCCGCGAGCGCATCTTCCGTACCGTGAGGCTCCAGCAGCCGCAGCAACTCGACTATGTGGCCGAGGGCAAACAGCACCTTCAACAGCAACAGCAGCCTCAGTTCGGTGTGAGTGTGGAGCACCGCCATGCAGCGCAGCCGCATCAGCAGCACTACCAGACGGACTGGCTGCAGCAGTGGTACCCCATCGCCGTCGAGAAATTCACTGACAGAAGGGTCAGATACACACCCCACACACGCGATGAGAACGGGCAAGTGGTTTATGCAGTCAGTGGCTGGGTGTCTCTGTCTGTCTGTCTGTCTGTGTGTCTGTCTGTCTGTCTGTGTGTGCAGGTTCCTCACGCCATGAATATCATCGGCCGTCCGTTTGCGTTTTGGTGGGACGACCAGCAGGAGGCGTGGCACGCCATGAAGGACGTCTGCCCACACAGACTGGCGCCGCTGTCTGAAGGAAGAGTCACCGACGAGGGACACATCGAGTGTCCATACCACGGATGGCAATTCGATGGCGAGAGCGGTGCCTGCACTGTCGTGCCGCAGAAGGAGGGCCCGCCAGACTCACGCTGCAACGGGAAGGCCTTTCCTTGCGTCGCTAAACAGGTCAGTCAGGGAACCAGGCAGCAGACAGAGGCAGGGCGATGCAGTTAGGCATCCACACTGACGGATGGATTACCAGTGTTTCCTGTCCTGTGTGACCACCAGGGCCTGATATGGGTGTGGCCGACAGCCAAGGGTGAGGGCACGGTGCAGCCGGCCGAGTCGCTGATCCCGACCCTGAAGATCTACGAGGACCCTGATGTTGTCTCGCTCGACATGTCACGCGACCTGCCCTACGACTACAGCACGCTGCTCGAGAACGTCCTCGACTCTGCACACATCCCCTTCACACACCACAAGACGATCGGCAAGAGGGAGAGGGCCGTGCCGATCCCACTGAAGCTCGACGGCCATCTCGACCCTGTCCACGGCTTCTCGGGCAGCTGGACGTCCGCACCACCTCTCATGACAGGCGGGGGCAAGACCAAGGAGGGGGTGTACCGTCGGTCGACGCGGTTCGTGCCGCCAGTGCTCATGTACCACCGGCTGGAGGACTCGGCAGAGAATGCCACCATGTGGACGGTGGTGTACGCCGTGCCCACTTCGCCCGGCAGGAGCAGAATAATCGCGAGATTCCCGTTCCGCTTTGGAGAGGGGTCGAAACCGATGGCAAAGTTTGTGACGTGAGCAGAGCAAGCCAGGCACACACATGACATGCTGCGCCGCGCCCCTGACAGCAGTGCAGTGTCCTGATCTGGTGTGTATGTATGCAGCTTCATGCTGCGGTTCGTCCCGGATTGGCTGCAGCACATCAACCAGAACCTGGTCATGGACGACGACGCCATCTTTCTCTACCTGCAGGAGCACCGCATCTCGTCTGAGGGCGATGGAACCACCCTCCCGCAACTCTATCATATGCCGTCTGCCTCTGACACGTACGTGGCCCACTTCAGAAAGTGGCTCAAGAAATACGGCGGAGGGGGCCCGCCATGGCTTGAGACGTTCGGGCGGCGCTGACAGCCTCTCATGGACGGCGTGAGTGCGATCAGCAGGGCGGGGTGCATCGACCGGTACCACCAGCACACCATCCACTGCTCCTCCTGCAGCGAGGCACTCACAAACATCAAGTGGGTCAAAGAGAATGCCATGGCTGTGTGAGGGAGGGGCTGGCTCACTGTTATCTGTGTGGTCTGAGTGCACTGCAGGCGTGTTCAGAAGTGGGCCATCGGCGGTCTGATAGCGGCGGCCGCGTATCGTCAAATCGCTCTCATGGCTCTGGCCTTTGTGGTTATCCAAGTGGCCCAGCAGCTGGAGCAAGGATTGACGAAAGGTACCAACCAACACGCGCGCAGACGCACAGACACACGTACGTACGACACAGACGCAGCCGCCTGTGTCTGTCGTACGTGTGTGTCTCCATTGCCCTTATCAGGTCCTTACCCCCCTCCGCGCAACATGCCTCTGCCTGACCGGCATTTGATGAAGAAGCGAGTGGACGGCGTGCAGGCGGTGCTGCGTCAGGCGCTGCTGGCCGTCATGATGCGCCTCGAGGGGCTGCTGATACGCACCTCCAGATGGGGCAAGTGAGCCGGAGCGGCAGGCAGGCAGGCAGGCAGCGCCACACACATATATCATAGATAGGTATGTGGAGGCAGAGATAGTTGCACAATCCGTCCGTAATTGTAGAGTATAGACAGACACTGGTCATAACGCTGTGCTGTATGAATTTGTGTATGTATGTATGTACGCATGCATGTTGTAACTATTCATCATTCCGTAATGAGCGGAGAGATCCGATCCATGCCATGCATCGCATCGTAAGCGGACGAGACGAGTGTGCAGGGGTGGCAGGCAGGTCAGGTCGGTTCAGTGTATTTTTCCTGATTGCTGTGCTGTGCGCGTATGCATGTGTGATGTCATGTATTTTTCGCCACACACAACGTGTGGCAGGGCTGGCTGCTCGGCTGTCTGTCTGTGTAGTTGTTGGTTGTGAATAAAGAGAGGATGGGAGAGAGGTGAGGCAGGCCGCCATCTCTGTCGGTTGATGGGATGGGATGGGATGGGTGTGAGTGAGTATACATGTATGTGTTCATGTGGTGCGCCCTAGTGGGTGCGAGGGTCGAATGTCATCGATGCATCACACACACACGGACGGACGGACATCGCGTGGAAGGCTCTGTCTGCTCACTCATTCAAGACTTACTCGCGCAAGCAAGTAGATATTGACACACACGACGCACAGCGTCTGTGGCTACGGCCTCTCTGCAAAATGTCCCTCTGCCTCGCATCGCATCGCACAACCAAACACACTCACTCACGGGCACACATATGCATCTACACAGCTAATTATCGTGCCACCCACCGGTTTGTCAGCCCAGTCATGCACCCATCCCATCCCATCGACGTGCATCGTCCGTCCTCTCCCACCACTAACTAGTTGACTCGATCGACTAATTGACAGCCACCCCCGCCCCCTTGCCCTCAACTATCGTCAGGGCCTTGCGCGTCCCCCGCACACTAGCAGGCCCGCCACTGCCACCGCTTTCCTCCTCCCCTGCATCGGACGGACCGATCAGGCGCACAGTGGGGATCTTGGAATTATCATCGGCTGCCGCCCCTCCCCCTGCTGCTGTGGACGCTGACTCGGGCGCTGCTGGCCGGACGGGGGAGACGATGGTGATGGCGCGTGTGGGGCGGGCCGCACGCACCCCCTCGTAGGCGTCAGGGTTGGTCACCTGCACACGCAATGAAGACCGACCGACCGGCATCTATCTGGTTTTGTGGTCGGTGTGTAGCCAGATTACTTACCCGTGTGTCTGTGTCGGCGATGGAGATTTGGTGGTCGAGGTGCGGCATGCCTGTTTCCTTGATGGACTGGAGGTGGAAGGGCAGGTCTAGCGGCACGGGGAACTGGCCCTCCAAATCCTCACCTGCCCGCACACACGTGTGTCCTCTTGCCGGTATCTCTGTAGCGCCGGCCGCGTCCGTCCGTACCTTCGTAGGAGACGAGTGGTGATATCTCGCATCGCAGCACTGGGTCGTCCGTCGCTATCACTGCACACACATCCATTCATCCTCATTCATCCGCTGGTCTGTCTGTCTGTCTGTCTGTCTGTGTCCAGTCAATAGACGTACCCCCTTTGCGGAAGGACCCGCCCGCCTTGACTATCCACCGCTGATGCAGCTGCGGTGGTCAATCAACACATGTATCCACCATGACCGGATTGCAATCCACAGCGTCTCACCCACCTGTCCCATCAGAATCACGGCCGTGGTGGGCGAATCGGCACCTGCGATTCGCCAGACACCAAGACACTCACACATGCATCGCATCGCATCCACAAACACATGCCAGCCAGGCTCACTCACCTGTTGCGTTTTTGACGGGTGCGAATTCGTCCTGCCTTGACACCTCCAGGCCCACGACGTGGTGGGCGAACTCGAAGCAGTCGAAGATGAACAGCTCCAGCTTGATGCCGTTGGGCTCTGAGGGCTCCACCCGCTGACCCGTGGCCAGATCGATGTGCGGGATCTTCTTCTTGGCGACGTGATACCTGACCACACACACACATACACGTACACATACACATACGCGACACGTGTATGTGTGATTGTGTCGCATATGTGTGATTGAGGGAGGTATGTCTGTTTGACATGCATGTCATGAAGTCTTCTTTGACGAGTCGGTCGACGAACGACACCCTGAAGTAGTGGTTGGCGATGTTGCCTGAACCAACGAACGAACGAACGAAGAGTGAGTGAGCGAACCGGACATACCGCACCGCCAGGCGACCAGGCACACCATGGCTGCCATGGATGCACTCGTTTCTGCCCTACCTGCCCCATACAGCAGTGATCCCGTCGGCAGCCGGGACCTCTGCCACACAGACAGACAGACAGACAGACAGAGAGACAGAGAGATGGTGCTGACTTGACCTGACGCCGATATATATGGCGAGTGCTGTGCTGTGCTGTGCTGTGCTGGGGCGGTGGGGTGGGGGAGTGGCTCACTGACTCACTCACTGACTGACTGACCTTCAGTTCCACCGGCAGCTCAGAGTACTCGACCACACACGCCTTCTCCACTTCACCGCCCTCATCCTGAAGAATTTGCATTGGTGATGCCAAGGAAAGGAAATGACACGCCACGTCACGCCACGTCACGTCACGTACACACAGCCACACAGATGGCAATGACGAGGTGTGGATGGATGGATGGATGGATGGACACACATGCGATCGATACGTACGTGTTTGCGTCTTGAGCAGAAGACGCCCACTTTCTCCTCAGGGCTCGTCTGAAAGATACACACATACACACACACACACACATACATTCGGGTGTTTGGTGTTTGGTTTGAATGCATCGGGCAGGTGTCCTATCCGACCTTTTCGACGCATTTGGTGCCGACGTCTGCGTCGGTGGCCTCGCAGTAGCCGACGAAGAGCGGGTCAGCCACCTTGCACAGCACATTGTCGACGCTGAACACGTGCATACTGACACACACACACACACACACATGGCACAAACCACACAGGACAAGAGAAGAATGGTTGGACGTGGGTGTAGTAAACGTGTGTGCGTGTGTGTCTGTGTGTGTGTGTGTGTGTGTGTGTCTGTGTGTGTGTGTGTGTTGAGCTGACCCCACTACGCCGCGGCGCTGCATGTCGTCCAGCATCCCTGCACACTCATGAAGGCACAGACAGACCGAACGGACGATGCCTTCATGTCTATTCCGTCCTTCTGGTTCTCTCACCGGTCGTTTCCAGCGCCTCGAAGATGCCTCCGTTGCCATTTGGGTTCTTGGCCAGCTGCAGTCACCAACCGCCCCACCCAGCACATACACACGAAGGGGAACACACACACACACACACACATACACACACACTCGCACCTTATGTTTGTCCTCGAGCAGGAATCTTCCGTCGAAGTCGAAGCACGGGATGAGGCGCTGCGGGAAGAAATGCACATCATCTGACGGCAGACCTGCACACACCAACCACGGCAGATGGTTTAACACGGGAAAAGCTAAGCTAGCTTCGTTGTGAGTGCACTGACTGACTGACTGACTTACCGAAGAAGCTGTGTTGTTTGAAGAAGTCGACGGTGTCCTCGTGGTTGATGGGGGAGGTCATGATGTACAGGGGCAGCGACACACGCTCGCCAGTGGGGAACTCACGACCAGCTGACACACACATATACACGCACAGAGACAAGACGCAAACAAAAACGAGCTAGCTACAAACACACACATATATCACACATATGTGTGTGCGCCCGTCCCTACCAACCAAGGTGTTTGAGTCGTCTGGTGCGTTCGCAGAAGAGCTGAAATAGCGACTTGGACGACAGAGGGGACGCGCAGAAGCAACCTACGTAGGTAGGTACATCGACCAACACACCACAGGGAGGGAACTTAGGGACACCACACCCAACGCATCCAGGAGCACCTACCTTTTGGCTTGTCGAGCCCCAGCCGCGTGCCCTGCCCGCCAGCCATGATCACCGCAGCAACTGCAGACCACAGCACACCATCACCAACACAGCCAATTGATTGACACACTCGGGGGCGCGGCATATATGCATCTCAGCGAGGCCCTTCCCTCCCCTGCACCGCACCCTCTCCATTTGCGATGTGGTAGAGTCCCTTCCGATGCCATTCCAGTAGCCGCTTCTCCGGCACCTCTGACACCTTGGTCAAACTACACGACCTGGTTGATCCATTCATGCATTCATCAAATCATTCAACTCACGTGTGTCATGGATGCGACGTGTGTGTGTGTGCGTGTGTGCGAGTGAGTTACTCACTTGAGGCCGGGTGTCTTTTTGGTTTCCCAGTTGAGTATGGTGGGCGGCCGCATCTCCCACCCCTGGTCCATATCCTCACGGCCGACAGCCTCGTCAAATATCTGCCGACAGACACCACCGAAGCGAAGCAGCACAAACAGGCCAACAGGGAGGGGCACATCAGTCATGTGCAGTCCAACTGCACTGCAGCAAGGTGATTGTTTTCGCCTGGCTGACCGCCTCCATCTCATCGATGTCGACGGCCTCTACATCTTCTACCAACACCTGCAGCCGGCCCGTCCCACAACAAGTTTGAAAGGGGAAACAAGGCAGATCAGCAGCTGGCGGTGCAGCCTGCTTGCTTCCTTCGAAGCGCTTTGGTCATTTCTCACCCTTCGCTCCTCGGCGTCGAGCTCATCGAAGAACTGATAGATGTGCTGCTGACTCCGGGCGGACAGATCCTGTGGACAATCACAGAAACACAAGCGAGAGAAGCACTATTTCTTCGCCCGTTCTGCGTCCGTCCTTACCAGTTGGTGCTCTTGTCCGGATCTTTGCGTGGCGCTCATCTCGTTGGTGCAGCACATGCTGGACCGCAGAAATCTTGACAAACCTGAGCCACCCATCGCCTCCTCCCCTCCTCGAAGCTCGCAAATGGGGCTGGCGGCGAGGGCGGAAAAAACTCATCATGATCCCTCGAGACAATCAGCAATACGCCAAGAGGGAGTACTGGGACGAACGGTGTGCCAGATCTGGCGGGAATGCGTTTCCATTCATCTGCTTCCTTTCCCTCTGCCTCAGGTTCGCATCTGAGGAGAGCTACGAATGGTTGGTGTCATTCGATGGCGTCAAAGGGCAGCTGACGCCTCTGCTGCGGGAACAAGATGACATCTTGGTCGTTGGTAAGCCACGCACAGAGAACAGTTAACCACTCACAGAGTCACACACATCCCGCCATCTCTCTCTCTCCTTGTTTGAAGGCTGCGGCAACTCGAGCTTCTCGGCTGACCTGTTCGATGCCGGCTATCGTCACGTCACGAGCATCGACTACTCATCGAGGGTCATCGAGCGCATGACGGCCCGGTACCCTCAGCTCAAGTGGCTGTGTGCCGACATGACGAAGCTCGAGGACAGCTTCCCTGCCGGCAGTTTCGATGTCGTCATCGACAAGGCCGCGATGGACGGTACCACTTACTAAGGATATGGTAACACGCAGTGACTGGGATGCATTCCAGAGGGCCTGACCGGTAGCCGTGATTGGTGGTTTACGCAGCGTTAGTGTGTGAGGAGGGTGACCCGTGGAACCCCAATGAGAGTGTCGTCCAATCCTGCGACGCCATGTGCAGAGGTACGCAGGGGAGCCGCACACACTCAGTCAAGAACATCGTTAATTGCGGCTGCCTGTGCGAATGTGTGTAGGTGTGCGGCATGTGCTCAAGCCATCGTCTGCTGGCGACCCGCCCAGCCCTTCTCGGTTCATCCAGATATCGTTCGCACAGCCGCACTTCCGGCGCCGGTATCTGTTGGGCACTCATGGCAGGCCGAGGGAAGCTGACAAACCGAATGAGGAAGGGCTGCATGTGAGCGAGAAATATCAGTGGACGCTGAGGCATCAAGACATCGTGTCCGAGAGTGGAGCGTTCAACAACTTTTTATATGTCTGCTGCTGCATGTGAGGGGTGTATATAATATTGTGTTGTGTGTTGGACTGGCGGGCTGCTGGTGAGACTTTTAATTGTGTTGTGATGTGAATCGATTGAATGCACAATCACGCACCGCCAGTCGTCTTTCACTTCCACCAGCGCTCATGTATGTATCGTATTGTCAGTCAGCTCTGTGTCAGTCAGTCCATCCATTCATCCGTCCGTCGATTCACTGCTGCAGGTGCACTGTGACGTCGTCGATGCCCCACGAGACGATGTCGGCATTGGACTCAGTCAGCGTCGAACCAAACACCTGCACACACACACATACGCACACACACAGACACGGCTGCATTCATTGTTGTGCTGGTGTGTGTGTGTCTCGTGTGGTGCTGACGAGGTTGAGTGTTGGTGTGCAGTGCGGGATGGTGACGTCGACAAGGACACTGAGCCGGTCGGGCTGACTGGCGCCGCACACATTCACGCCGAACTCACGGCAAGTCAAAGTGGTCATGGTGGGGCACTGCATGAATCCACAGTCATCCATCCATCCATCACACCCACACATGGATGCGGTGCATTCGCTGCTTCTCTCTCTCTCACAGTGACTGACCCAGTTGTGTGAGCGTGCCCACACGATGTTGTTGCCGGCCTTCAGGTACACACTCTCGCCCGTCCACCTCCACACACCAATGCAGTGCACACGTCCATTTGCATGTCGTGTGGTATGTATGGGTGGCTGATGTTCCCACTCACCTGTCGAAGTAGTGTATGCGTGCAGTGATTTTGACGTGTCTGTGTGGCGGGAGGTTCTTGTACAGACGCGACACGCTGCCCCTCGCCAGTTTGCCGAGGAAGACATCCGTCGAGCCGCACGTCGACCGGTCAGCCCGATCCCACTGATTCACACCATCCTACACACAAACCAACACAGTCGATTGCCAAGTGGCGCTGTGTCTCTCTCTGCGTGTGTGTGTCATACTTGCCATGGTGTCGAGTGAGAAGAGTGAGAAGGGCGTGTTGCGGTGGACCATCAACTCGCCATTGTCCATGATCTTCAGCATTCCGGCCACCTTGACGCTCGCGGCAATCGTCGTGGCCACGTCGCTCACATTGAACACAACGACGTCCTGGTCCTCTCGACGAAAGAGCAACTCACTGTTCTCGCTGAGCAGCTCGAGAGGCGCCAATGACGGACTCGCGTCACTCACAAACTCTGCATGCACGAATGACACAACCACAATCCCATGAGTGTGTCTTTGTGTTTGTGCCTGTGTGTGTGTCTCTCGCTAACCCATGCGAACGATGTTGGCTGCGTCAGGCCGGATGGTGATGCCACAGTCGACATGGCGACAGAACGAGGCGACACACACCAAAGCGACAAGCACACGTGCACTCATCACAGCTGCAGTGTTTGTTTGTGTGACTGAGTTGATTGATTCTGTGCCGTGGCTGTTGCGTCGTGTTTGCTTGTCCGTTTGCATACATACGTATGATTAAAGTTGTGTGAAAATAATGTGTATACAACTGTAATTGATTTTCACTCTCCTGCCCGTATTCCGTCATCGCAAGGGCTGCACCGCCATAGTCGATATTCGTCCTTCGCCGGGTGGGTGCATGGACTGATGGCAGACAGGCAGACAGACCGTCGATTCAGCTAGACAAGCGATGGTTGGCTCTTCTCCCTGTTGCCCCTCTTCTCCCTCCTCCCCTCTTCGATAAATTTACAATCCTGTGGCTAAGCTCGCAGCTGTGACCGCGCGAAAGATCTAAGGCGTTGGACTCATCACTGCTCTACCAAGGCAGCCAGGGGAGATCCGGACACCGGCCAGGAGCAGCAGCAGTGATGCGCCAGCTCATCTCCCTCGTCGTGGCGACCCTCTGCCTCGCTCACCATGCTGCTGCATTCGTCCCCTCCCCTCTTCTCAAGACCTCTTCATCACAGCCCCAGCAGCGGTCGTCGTCCCGGCTCACCCCCCAGATGCTGCAGCTGAAAGGCGAGGCGTCCACAGCGCTTCCCTTCCTTCGCAGGCCGCCAGCGCTCGACGGCTCGCTGCCCGGCGACGTGGGATTTGATCCCGTGGGATTTTCCTCGCTCGACAAGAACTCTGACGGCAACCCGGGTTTGGATTTCTACTGGTTCAGGGAGGCGGAGATCAAGCACGGGCGGATCGCGATGCTTGCCACGGCGGGGATCCTGTTTGTGGAGCTGGTGGGAACGATGCCCTTCTTCCCCTACCCCAACAAGAGCCAGATGGACGTCTTCTGGGACGTCTACCGGGACAAACCCGCCCTGATCTTCTTCTCCATCATCATGATTGCCGTCATGGAGATCACTTCCGGATTCGCTATCACGGCGGGGCGCGAGAGCGGTCTGAGGGAGCCGGGCGACTTCAAGTTCGACCCTTTGGGCTTCGCCAAGAACAAGTCGCCCGAGGCCATGAAGACCATGGCCACCAAGGAGGTCAAGAACGGCCGGCTGGCTATGCTCGCGGCGGCAGGCATGATCCTCCAGGGGCTCGCCACACACAAGGGGTGCCTGGAAAACCTGAGCTCTGCGCTCACGGGCAAGTAGAGCGAGCGATGGTGTGTGTATGGATGGATGAAGGGCGAAAAGGGGGCCACGACAGATTTTCGAGAGTGCTGTTTTTGCTCGTGATATGATGGTGTACACAGTCAGTGGGGGTGGGTGGGTGCTCTCGGGTGGTGGTGGTGGATTGATTGATAGCTGGTTTTGTCTGCGCGTGAGCGCGACTGACTGACTGACTGACTGATGGACAATGAAACTCTCGATGAGACCGTAGTGCGCGCGCGCGATTGATGACAGAGAGAATTTTTCGCCTGTGAAATGACATGTCTTGGAAGCAAATTCATTCACTCATCAATCTGTCCACACACACCAACACAACACGTTCATCGGTCTCTCCTTACCTCACGACATACACGAGCGAGCGCCGACCGACACTTCCTCCCATCCACCCAACACAAACAGGCAGATAGACAGAGACTCATGCAGGACCAACCTGACCTCGCTTGTTTATCTCTCCTGACATAAAGACTGACCGACGGACGCAAAACATACCACCACACGCGCAACGCACACGAGAAAGCTTCAGTCGTTATGCACGCCCACATGCATTCAGGCAGGCAGGCAGGCAGGCAGTGAGTGCTTAAATAGTCAGTCAGTCGCGGTCACCGATAGAGCGACGCCTCCAGCTAGACACGCACGCACGCACGCACACGAAGGCACCGTATGGTATGCATGCATACAGGAGGGGAGGAGGAAAAAACATCTCTCTGGATGTGATATGTGATGTGATGCAGATCGATAGAACTCGTTCGCCTAAATCCCACACTTACGGCCTAATGGATTATCATCCATTGCTCTCTCTTCACTTCTCTCTCTCTGTGCGACAGCCATCTGCCAGTCAGTCGGTCGATAGAGCCAGCCAGCCAAAGAAAACCGACGTACGGGTGCTGTGCTGGTGAGACGAAAACCACAAAAAGGTGTACAATGCAATGCATGCACCGCAGACAGACAGACACCGATCAGACCAAGGAAAAGCAGGAAAAGCGGCCGATGCTGCAGACAGACAGCTAGGTATGTACTATAAAGCGCCCGAGGGCCCGTGTTGACCGGATGGGTGAACGACATTTGGCTGACTGCCCGTGGGTGAGGTGACCCAACCCGACTCATACATACAAATATGTATGCGCTGTGCTGTGCTGTGCTCGTCCCGCCCTCTCTCCCGCCCGACCACCCCACCCTCCTCGTTGACCCGACGGATGGGAAAATCGCCCGAGTGGCGTGGATGCATGCTGATCTATCTGCGCATCGCATGCAGGCACGCCACTCTCTCCGGCACCACACACGCTTACACACATGTACAGAGACACCGCACACGTAGACACACATGGATGCATCGACGGACATGAAACACACGTCTGATCAGCCAACCAAGCGACCGACCGACATACAGACACCAAAAACCTCTTTCTCTCTCTCCCCAATCAAGCTGACCTCAACCAACGAAACCCTGAGAGACTGCACCCACCCACCCTTGCCCCTCTCTCTGTCTCTCTCTGGTGGACACATTCGATCGAAAGACACACACGTGCTCAGCTCAACATGAAGGTCTGTCTGGCGAGAAAAAGAGAGATGAGGGAGGGAGGGAGAGAGGGAGGGAGGGGGGGCAAGAGGGACGATACAGCACAGCCAAGCTAGAGAGGCCGCAAGGATGGTGTGTAGGCATCGTGAGCATGTGTCAGGCAATGTGTGTACGTACGTATGAGCGTCGCTCAGTCCGGCAGGCCAGGCCAGGCCAGGCCGTTTACAGAAAGTAGTACGGGTAGTATGGAAAATTGAAAGCTCACTACGCACGCACACAACACACCAAGTCATGCCATGCATCCCATCCACTCGTCACGCTAAGATGATGTCCTGCATACACACACACACAGACACTCGCGAGGTGTCCATGTGTATGCCTCTCTTTCTCTGCACTCACTCAGCTGACCTCGGTAGCGGGTGGCCTGGGGTAGTATGCATTGGCAAACCTGTTGTCGTCCTCATGGCCGCTGAAGGCGTGGCCAATACCGCCATACGAACCTGGCCGATCCATCACACGATCCATCCATGGACAGGACACGCGACAGATGATATGATGCGTGTGGTGTGCGTGGTTTGATATGCTGTCCGTGTTTGTTGTGGCTGAGCTGACTGATGCGATGCTATGTGGCTGGGCTGGCTGACCTTGGAATACTTCCTTTGGTGACTTTGGCAGGCACGCGCCGTTGTAGCATTTGGTGCCGTCGGGGCACTGCACCCACCGGCACTTAAAGTCCTCGCTCCCCTGCACACATCACATCACACGAAAACAGAGCACCCCACTCCCTCCCTCTCTCGCAGTCTGTGTGGGCTGGGCTGGGCTGGGATGTGCTGGGTGTGTGGGTGCCTTCATTTGTTTTGTTTGTACCATGTTGCCGACTTGGTCTTTGTTCTTGCATATCCCATAGGAGCACACCTGGTCGTCGGGGCACTTGACGAACTTGCAGAAGGTCTCGTTGTTGTTGGGGCCAGGCGGAGCGGGCGCCTGCTCGGCACCGACCTCTGCCACCACACACAAACACATACGTGCGGAACGGAATCATCAGCCAGCCATTCCATCCATCCCATGCATCCGTGTAGAACACCCACCAGCAGCACTCAGCAAGGTGTTGGCCGCCAGCGACACAGTGCCTTTCGCCATGGCCTCGGATGCCGCGGCGAACGAGCCCTCCTCCTCCTTAGGCCCCTCCGACTCGTCAGCGACCTCGTCGAGCTTCTTCTCGATCTTGTCGGCGTCGCTCTCCTTCTCGCCTTCGCCCTCCTCCTCCTTCTCCTTCTCTTCCTTCTCTTTCGCTGGAGCGCTGGCGCCAGGGATGTACTGCGAATAACCGCCTGCACCACCTGTGTAGTGAGTGCATGCAGAGAGGCAGAAGGAAGAAGACGTCATGTGTATGAGGAGGGGGGGGGGGGCCTTCGGGGTAGTTACCTTGTCCGCCCATGAATTTGCTGTAGTCGAATCCGCCTGCGCCGCCTGGCAATGCGAGCGAGAGAAGGAGGGTATCCATCGGATGGACGGATGGCTGTCTCGTCTCTCTCTCTCTCTGTGTATGGGGGAGGGGGTACCTTGGCCGCCTTGCCCGCCCATGAACTGGCTGTAGTCGAACCCGCCTGGGGCGCCGCCGCCGCCAGTGTTGTTGCCACCTAATCACAGGTAGATAGACAGACACAAAGACGCACCACCACACAACTAACCAATGGCTGAGAATCCGTGTCTGTGTCCGGTGCGCGGTCTGGCGTTAACACCTCCCATGTATGGTGCGGTGTAGGAGCCCCAGTCGAAGCCGCCCCCAGAGGCTGAGCCCCCGGTGGCCGCACCGCTGCCCTGGCCCGACCCGCTGCCCATCCCGCCGCCGGGGAACTGCGAGGCCGTGTCCTCACTCGATGCGGCTTCATCAGCCCTAAGACACACGAGAAACAAAGAAGGGTTTGAGAGGAAGCGAGAGAGTACGTCAGTCAGCCAGGTGTGATGTGATTGATGGTGTGATCTGATGTGCTGGTGGCTGTGCTGTGCTGTGGCTCACTCGGCCATCTGCACGGCTTCGGCGTCCTTCGGTCCTGCTCCCTTTTTCTTGTGCTTCTTCTCCGGCTGCGGTGCAGCTCCGCCCATGCCGACGGTGAACTGGCTGTAGTCATAGCCGCCATAGCTGGTGCCGCCAGAGCCCCCCTTCATGTACTGCGAGTAGTCCATGCCCCCATAGCCGCCGGTGCCGCCCTGGCCGGCCTTGGTGTACTGCGAGTAGTCCATCCCGGGGCCTGTGCCGCCGCCCGAGCCTGAGCCTGGCCCGCCGGAGGGCGACATGTAGCCCTTGGTGTACTGGGAGTAGTCGAAGCCGCCGGGTGCGCTCGCGCTGTCTTCTTTGCTGCCTTTCTTGGACCTGGAAGGCACATGAACGAATGAAGCACTGATGGATATGCTGCAACGGGTGTGGTGTGCCTGGTGCGTACACAAGGTTGGTGGTCTCTGGCGGAGTCTTTTCGTCCTTGCCATTGTCGTCCTCGGTGCTCTCACCGCCGCCGGCAGCGGGCTGGCCCCCCGCGCCGCCCATGAACTCGGAGTAGTCGGGCACGTACTGGCTCCAATCCATCCCGGGGCCGCCACCCATGCTGCCCGGACCTCCACTGACATGTCAAACACAGACAGATACACACATCACATCATCACTCGTGCGGATGTGGCGGGTGGGTGTGGTGTGGTGTGGGTGGTGTGCTGACCTTGCCCCGTGTGGTCCGGCCTCGCTGCCTCCGCCCCCGACTCCGCCAGTACCGCCCCCACCGCCTCCCTTGGAAGTGTCGTTGCCCGACGGCGCACCGCCGCCCGTGCCGCTGCCCATGAAGTGGGAGTAGTCGGGGACGAAATGCTGCCAATCCGGAACAGCTGAGAAACGGACAGACGCACAGAGGGAAAGGGGGCGTCCATAGAAATCACGGATGGGGGTGTCTTTGGTGTGTGTTTGGTGTGTTCAGCTCGCCTCGCCCACCTCCTGGTGGTGGTCCGCCCTGGCCGCCTTCGGGCGATGGGGTGGTTTCCTCCTCGGCCTCGGGCTCGGCCGCCTCGCCCTTCTCCTTGGGGGCCTCGCCCTCCTCCTTGGGAGCCTGCTGTGCGAGAGTTGTGGCACTTGACACAGCCTGATAGGGACGGAGAAAGATGAGATGAGTGGATCGGGTGAGGTGTGTGTGTGTGTGTGTGTGATTCTTTGGTTACGTCCATGACTGCCATTCTGAGGCAGGCGACCTCCATCTCGGCACTGCCCACCTCACTGGGGCTGCACGGATCTGTCAAGTCAGTGGGAGCCATACACACCAGACACACACGACACGCACCCACATTGTCTGATGGCTTCTGACTGACTCTTGTACTTAACACAACTGAGTGACTCCCTTCCGTCCGTCCGTCCCACTCACTCTGCCTACCTTGGACGTCTGCAAGCGTCATGGGGATGCGTTTCGCCCATGCGTTTGTGAGAATCCACCTGTTGAAGCTGCCACGGTGACACGCAGCGACCACCGCTGGGTAGGCCGTCGGCTGCACAACACAACACAACGCAACGCAGACAAGGC